AGTGTGTGGCCTTTTGTGACTGGCTTCCCTCACTGAGCATCATGTTTTCAAGGTTCATCCATGTGGTAGCACGGGTTCGCCCTTCACTCCTGTTTATGGCTGCGTAGTCGTCCATCGTGTGGATGAATGACAGGGTGTTTATCCATTCATCCATGATGAACATTTGGGATACCCAGTAGATGTTTCATCCTCTCCATGGTCCTATGGGTTAATCACTCTTAGCACCCATAGCTGCTCCCTTTCTGAAAAAGTACTCAGTAAATATTTGCCGAATAAATATGAATGAGTAAATGAATGAACGTATGAATGAATGAGTCTTTCTTCCCTGTCCCACCTGCATGCTTTACTTCTGACATTTTTTTTTTGTCTGTCTCCTCCATCCCCCAGGACACTGGCCCCGCGAGGGCAGACGTTTTCATTTGCTTTGGTCACCTCTGTGTCCCCAGAGCCTGAAACAGTGCCTGACTCAATCAATTCTTGTTGAGTCATGAACAAAATGAAGGGGTCATTATCTCTTCAAATTGGACCCCTCTGTCATCCCCAGAAGGCTTTTTCTGAAGGAGAAAAGAGGTCCAGAGGGACCTGTCGAGTCTGAGCCAAGATGTGTCATGGGCATGGTCACCAGTGTGTGAAATTATTCAGTTAATAGTGTCTGCCCTCCCTGAGGGCAGGAACCATGCCCTCCTCATTTTCGGCGGGGAGGGGAGGGCTGGCACAATTGCTTTTGCTGTGAATTTGATGAGAAGGAAGGCAGAAGAGGGAGGTGTGGTTTAGAACTTATGGGACCTGTTACTCACAGCCAGGGGCTCAGAGAGGGGAGGGTCTCCCCCTGCATCACACAGCATTCAAGAGAGAGGGACAGGAATCCCCCCAGTGCAGAGGCCAGCGACAGGAATGCTCGGTTGCAAAAGGAGGCTGGGAGGCTGTAGGAGGTACGTGTGTTGCAGCCTAGACCCCCTTGCACAACCTCCCACTCCGACCTCTCTGTCCCTTCTATTGCACCCCTCCCCCCAGACTATGCCCACCATTGCACCTTTGCCTGTGCCATTCCCCACTCCAGACATACCACCCCTTTGTCCTCTATCCAAGCATCCAAGAGGAAGCTTTCTGGAGAGGATGAGATGCAGAGCTTCTGAAGCTTTGGCAGGACCCCAGGAAAGGAATTCAGCAGCACAGCTGCCTCTCAGAGCCAGGGAGCCTGGAAAGTTCCTCCTCCACGACTTGAAACTCTCCTAAGTTGTCAGCCGCCCAGAAGGAGGCCACACCTGGAGGCCACCAGGCCAATGCCAGCAGAAGTAAACTGGAGCAGCCCACACCTTGACTTCTCCTCCACCCCACCTGGCCCAGGCCCTCCCACGCCCTTGACCTCTGCCCCTGTTGGATATGCCTTCCTGGCTCTCCAGGGCCATCTATGAAAGGCAACCAGGCGCCCCAGCTGCTGCCCACATCATTGACTCTTTGCTGTTCAAAAGTCCCCCATGGCTCCCCAGTGCCCTCACCATGGAGCTCACACTCCTCTGCCAGGCATTCCCCACGTGGCCCCCGGAAACCTCCTCCACCTGTCTCTCAGCCCTCATTTCCTCCTTCTTGGGCAGCCTGGGCTCTCGCTTCAAGCCCCCAACTGTTCCTTGATCTGCTATTCTCTCTCACCTCAAGGCCTTTGCTTATGCTGGTCCGTTTGCTCCATATGCCTTAGAGAACATTTACTCATTCTTTAAGCATTGAGGTTCCCTCCCCATTCAGCAAGCAGAGGCCTCCTGTGCCATCCACATGGCTCCCTGCTGCCCATTCTGGGTACTTTGCCCTCCCTCTGCCACAAGCTAACCATGGGACTGATCAAATCTAATTCTGAACACCCCACTTCCTTATCCTGGGAGCACCGAGCCTCTCCGGGACCCCAGGACCAATCAGCACGGGTTGGTTCATAGCATTGATGCTGGATGAATGAATGAGTCCAATGAGTCCATCAGGAAATACGGGATATATTTTTTGAACACTGACCCAGCATTCAAAACTTGTTCATCTTCATCTCTCCTCATTTTCTAGCCACAGAAACACACTTCCCTTTCCCAAACTGTGCAGGCTCTTTTTATTTCCAGGACTCAGTACATCCCTTTTCTCCCTTCTCCCTTTTCCTTGACTCCTACCCTACTTGGCAAGCTCCTATCCATCTTTCAAAACCCAACTCCTAGGTGCCCTCCTCTGTGAAATTTGTCAACCCCTGGGCTGAGTCCTCGAGTGCTGCCTTCTTCTGTACCCTGATCGTGCGGGGCTGGGCTCCGCCTCCCCCCACTCCAGACTCAGCAAACTTTGCAGGCATCGAGAAAATAAGTTTCTGAAGAGTGAAGTGACTCCTAAGTGGATCCTGATGAAATCAACATGAATCGATTTTTTGAGAAAATTCTTGCTACGTATTTTGTCTTCATTTACATACCTGGATCAAAAACATGCTTTTAACATGCTTTTAAAGAGCTGAGCAGTATTTGACCAGAATGTATTCAGCCCTACAAAGGCTGGTGAAAATGCTATGACTCCCTTTCTATGTATGCCATTATTTTTGATTGCAATTACAAAGGACTCAGACAGAACTATATATAAATTTTGTTTTCCACTGGGATTATCTCTTTGATGCAAGTTCTTGGAGGTGCAATGACGGAGTGGGGGCAGAGGGGGCGCTATCTGTAACTCCATGTCTCCACGCAACTTGACAAATTGCCCACAGGAAGCTGCAAAATACGAGTGTGCCCACATTCACTACCATGTAAATTCATTTTTAATTACTGATCTGAGAGGCCAAAAGGAAAAGATCTTATTGTTTTCTATTTGGCTGGTTATTATAAATATATATACATATATATGTATCTCATAAGCTGGCAAACTCTGGCCCCATGCCAAATTCCCCCTTGTCTTGTTTTGTATGGCTTATGAGCCAAGAACGACATTTACAATTTTAAGTGGTTGAAAAATTAAAAGAAGGGTATCTTGTGACGCGTGAAAGTTAAGTGAAATGCGTATTTCAGTGTCCATAAAGTTTTATTGGCACACGGCCACCCTCATTTGTTTACATACTATCCATGGCCACTTTCCAGGTACAGTGGTAGAGCTGAGTTATTTCCATACAGATTGTATGGCCCAAAGAGCCAAAAACAGTTAATATCTGGCCTTTGTAGCAAACGTTTGCCAATTCCTGAACTCAATGATTTATTAGCTCTGGTGATGGGTTTGGGATACTCAGAAGTGTTTGGGAGGAGAAAATCTTGGGGAGACCCTTTATAACATAACTCGGATTCAATTCCTCATGCCCTGGTCTGTTTTGCAAGAGCCTTTTCAATAGGAAAGGAAATGTCCAAGTATGTTCACACCAGGGAAAGGCAACTATCATTTTGTGAAACTTTTGTTTCTCTTTGATAAGTATCTGGAAATGCAGGTACTGGGAGATGATGATGTTGAAGTCTAGTATGTGTCATGACCACGTCTCCTGCGGCCTCAAAGGGTGTCTGCCGGTCGCTCAATTTGCTACATTTAGAGAGGGGCTGAATTTGCTACATTTAGAGACCGCTGAAGGAGGACTGAATGGAAGAGCATTTTGCATTGTCAAGCACAGCTAGACTGGAGGCTCAGCCCAGCCCTAAATCAGCCTTTTCTCGGTGCCTTCTGTGGGGACCCCCACCTCGGGGTGGGCTGCCAGGGAATCCAGAAGGAGGGGTCCCAGAACCTCAAACCTCTTCTCCACCTTAGAGATCAGTACGTTCAGCCCCCTCCCGTGTGTCAGGTGAGGGTACTGAGGACCAGGGTCAGTATCTCTGTCCAGGAGGAGCAAGAACCAGGGAGACCAGAGGGAATCCCTGAATCTCAAACTCCCACCTCCCAGCTCTGGAAATTGGTGAGGTCAAACAGTGCAAAAGCAACCAGGGCATCCTGAGACCGAGCTCCCTCTCCCCCATCCCCCAAAAAGAATCTCTCGGAAGCACCAAGTTCAAATCCTAGCTCTAAGTGCCAGCACGACCCTTGGTATATCTTTCAGTCTCCCTGAAGGCCATTTCCTCACCTGGACAACGGGATTAACTCTATGTAATATACACTCTGCCTAATTCCCAAAGTCGTTGTGAAGATTAAACTGAGATTTTTCCTGTAAAATGTTTAGTAAAATGCCTGCCACACATAGTAAGCGCTCAATAAAGGTATGCTTGTATCACTCACTGTGTACTGAGCACCCTCGCTATGTGCAGGGTACAGAGCAAAACACATAGCCTGCATCACCCCTGATCCCAGGGGCTCCAGGAAGGTGAGCAGCCTGCCTTATTCACAGCAGTCTCCCCAGCACCCCACATGGGGGTAGCATAGCCATACGCATCTTTGGCTGCTTTGCATCTTACAAGCTTTGCCTGTGCCATTTAGGCATTTCGAGCCCTTCCAATACGGCCCCTTAGCAAGGGCTGGAGGAAGGATGGCCCACTGTGCTGGTGTGCTTAGAACTGAGGGGTCCCCAGGACATGGGACTTTCAATGCTGAAACCAGGACAGTTCCCAGCAAACTGGAATGAGTTGGTCAACCTAGGCTGGGGGTACAGCTGAAAAAAAAACTAAACACAGTCACCTCCTCCTGGAAGCCTTTTCTGATCCACTCCCCCAACCCCCCTCCCCGATCCCCAAGGCTGCCTGTGCAACTCCCATTACAAGCACCATCAACCCAGGTTGTGAGTGCCTGGAGTCACATCTGTGTCATCAGCTCTGGCGGGGGGGGGGGGGGGGGGGGTTGGGGCGGGGGCGGGCAGAGACTGGCTGTTTCCCTGGTCACTGCTGCATTTCCAAAACCTTCCACAGAGCCTGATGCCAAATAAAGATGAATGAATGAAAGCCAGCACTCCTTGACTAACAGATGAGCCAAAACTCAGAGGGGTGATTCCTCAAGCAGGATTCCCCAGCGGTGATGTGGAGAAGCCAGACTGGAACCCCAGTCTGTTAAGGCTGCAACCCCCAGCCCTCCCACCTGGACCTCACCGTGTTGTAGAACTCGGCCACCAGCTCCGAGTGCTGAAAGTTACTCTCACACCAGTCCACCTCGGAGCTCTGGTAGGCGAAGATGCTGGGCATCCTGATGCAGCGCCCAGTGCCCACTGGCTCAGTCTGGCAGAGAGGAGCATGAGAGCCTAGAACAGCCCGGCCCAGGTGAGACAGGCGGAGGACAGCTGGTTGCCCCACGGCAGGCAGGCCGACCAAGAGGAAAAACCTGCTGAACCACTCCCTGTTGCACCAGGGCAGCCTAGCTGTGCGGTGGCGGCTGCCCTGGGCATAAGCAGAGGGGCTGGCCCCAACCAGGGAGGGTGGAGGTGGGAGGGGGGGTGGGAAGGGAGTGTGCTTCCCATCCCTACCCACTAGGAGTGGGAGTTAGGGGGACTGTTATTAGAACAGTAATTTAAAATAATAAGGAGCCCATTGAGAGGAGTACGCTGGCTCTCCCCACTTTACAGATGAGCAAACTGAGGAAGAAAGAGCGAAATCACTTGCTGAGGGCATGCAAGGTGGGGGGAAGGCCATAATGTGAAAACAGGCAGCTGAGTCCAGGCTCCGGGCTCTTAACCATTAGGTTTAACTACCTCCACACCGTCAAAGCTCCATGCTGCTATTTCCCATACCAGGGGCAACAGTAGCTCACCCACCCCCAACGCACTTGGCTCAGCTGCCTGGGAGTCCTTGGCTATGAAACCTAGCCCAATCATTTCACCTTTGGGGGCCTAGGTCTTCCTGTTTGTGTTATGGGAGGCTGGGCAGGACTGATGCCATTTCTCTTGGGTGGCCAAAAACTCAGATGCCCACAGTGTCCCAACTTCTACCAGGGGCCACCTTCAAAGCCCCCATGAAGGGAGGACTCTGCAGAATTCCAGGCCTGGGGGCCCCTAGTCCTGGCTTCCAAGGGCTGTGGAAAACTCTGGTTTTAGAGTCAGCAAGTCTGAATTCTGAGTTCCTCCCCTTCCTAAGTTGTATGACTCTGGGCAAGTGAATCCACCTCTCTGAGCCTCAGTTTGCTCATCTGTAATATGGGGAGGATGGAGCCAGACCCAGCTGTTCTAAAGGGACACAGAGATAAAGCAAGTCAAGAGCTTAGCTCACTGCCTGGCCCAAAGTGGGCCCAAGATAAACGGTAACGGGTTTTCTTATTGTAGTTGACCTTGAAATTTAAGGCAACCTGTGGGAATGATGATAATAATGGCACATTTTACTGACTACTTACTGGTGCCACGCTCTTTTCTAAGTGCTCAGCATTCAGTATTATCTCATTTAATGTTCTTGAGAGCTCTAAGAGAGACTATCATTACCTCCATGTCACTAGCAAGGAAACTGACACCCAGAGAAGCTAAGCAATTTACCCAAGGTCACACAGCTAGAAACAAAGTAGGGCAAGCCATTTTGCCCCTCTGAGTCACAGGTTCCTGATCTGTAAGATGGGAAAAATAATAGTACCTCTCTCTTAGGGCTGTTGTGCAGATTTAATGAGCTGATACAGCGTTTCCCTAGGAAGACAACTTTGGGTGATGGATGGACCTGCATTTGAGAATCACTGAATTGTGTGGCAAGTAATCCACTCCCTTTTCAATTCTCGATAGCTCCAGGAGAGGGGCTAATTGGTGCTAATACATGTTTATGCCCCTTAACGCTTAATCCCTTTATTTGGTTAAAAAAAAGTCCTTGGGCAGACAACAGTATCCAGCCAGAATGTAGTGACACTGTTTACATTGTATTTATTTTTAAATAAGCTTGCCTCACTGCTGGTGATGTCCACTTTTCATTCATAGCAGGGTTACAAAATTTCTTTTTTTAAATATATTGATTAAAGCTTTATAATTCTGGGGGTGGTTACATAAATCTATACATGTGAAGAAATTGCATACACACATACACATAAATGAACATAACAGCTATTGAAATCTGAACAAGACCTGTAGGTTACATCCAGGTAAGTGTCCTGTTTTTGAAACTGGACATAGTTATATAAGTATATAAGTATATAAGTATAGTTATATAAGAGGTACCAATCGGAAAAAACTGAGTAAAATGTACAGGAGACCTGGGAAATTGTTGCAATTTCTTGTGAGTGCATAATTATTCCCAAACAAAGAGTTGTGTTTCTTTTTAAGTAATTGATTTAGGCTTTTAATTGGTGGATGAATGGATCAACAGAATGTGGTATATCAATACAATGTAATATGATTCAGCCTCACAAAGGAAGGAATCCTGACACCTGCTACAATATGGATGGACCTTGAGGACACTGTGTTCAGTGAGAGGAGCCAGACACAGAAGGACACATCCTGCAGGACCCCACTCCCAGGAGGCCCCCAGAAGAGTCCCGTCCCCAGAGACAGAGAGTAAACGGTGGGAGCCAGGGCTGGGGCATGGAATGGGGAGTCTGTACTTCATGGGGACAGATTGCAGGTTAGGAAGATGAGAAAGTTCTGGAGACAGAGGGTGGTAATGGCTGCACGATTATATGAATGTGCTTCATGTCACAGCTGTACATTTAAAAATGGTTAAATGATGGTCAGTTTTATGTCATGTATATTTTACTGTTTTTTAAAAGTAATTGATTCAGGGTTTTTAAAGAGGTTTTATTTGACAAAATATAAATAAATAAGAGTTAAGGCAGAAGGTGGGTAATATGAAAATCTTGAGGGCGTTCTGTGAAGGTCAAACATTTGGGCTTAGTTAGCCCAGAGCCTAATATCATTGTTGCTACTATTATTATGGTTGTTATTATTGCCCACAAGGTGTCAAAGCTTCCAGGCTCATACCCTGCCAGGTGCCCAGAGCTGTCTTCAAGATCCTCTGGGGAGATGGGAAAGATGCCAGGTATGGGGGTGAGAAGTTCCCAGAACCCAAATTAGAAGCTCTGCCTGAGTGGCTCTTTACTTCCCCACAGCAGCTGAAACCCCACCATTTAGCCATGGCCCTGGCCCCCATATCCCCTCCCGAGCTGGGCCAGGTGAGCAAGCATACTCCAGCCCTGCCTCTTCCAGCCAGCTGAAAGGAGGGAGCCTGAGTCCAGTCGGGCTGGAGCGCATGGCCTCTGACCTCCCTCCCTCAAAGCCAGGGCAGGGCACAACTCTTGGAATCTGGCTCTCCATGACTTCAGTGAAAAGTTTAGTTAGCGTCAGGAAGCAAGGTGGTGATGGATGCCCACGCCCAGCCCAGCCTGAAGAGTTTGGGAAATCACCCTGCACAGAGCTGACTAGGGAAACAGGACAGCCAGACAAGTGTGTGGCTTCTCTGCTAGGGGGAGAGAAGGAGGAAAGGGAGGGTATGCAAAGGGCCAGAGCCTGGGTGGAGGGAGGGAGGGTATGCAAAGGGCCAGAGCCTGGGTGGAGGGGTGTATGATTCCCAGGGCTGCTTACAAATTAAGACAAATAGTAGCTTAAAACAACACACATATATTATCCTACAGTTCCAGAGATCAGGAGTTCGAAATGAGTCTTATGGGGCTAAAATCAAAGTGTCCACAGGGCTAGTTCCTCCTGGAGGCTCTAGGGGAGGATCCATCCCTTGCCTTTTCCAGCTTCTAGAACCTTCCTGCATTCTTTGGCTCAGGGCCCCTTCCTCCACTTCAATGCACATCGCTCCCCTTTGGATTTCATCATCACACCTCCTTCTCTCTGATTGTGACCCTCTTCTAAAGACCCTGGGATAACACTGGGCCCCACCAGGACAATCCAGGATCATCTCCCCTTCTCCAGATCCTTAAGTCAATCACAGCTTCGAAGTCTCTTTGCATGGAACATATTCCCAAGATTCAGTGACAAGGACGTGGATATTTGGGGGGAATCATTACTCTACCAACCACCAGAGGGGGAAGGAAGAGGGCTTGGGGATAACGGAGTTGGGGGCTGGGAATGGAGAGGGAAAAGGGGTGAAAAGGGGGTTGGGAAGGGGCTGGAGACTGGGTGAGGATTGGGAATGAGGTTAGGAGTGGGGCAGAAGATGGGGCTTATGGCAGAGTTGGAGATGGAGGAGCTGGGGATGGAAACAGGAGGAGAGAAGGGGCAGTGTGGGGTTGGTGAGGCTGGGATGGAGTGGACTCATCCCATCAGAAGTGGAGCTGGGGCTGGAACTCTGTCTCTGGTAGACATGGGCATCCCACCCTGGGTCAGTACCCAGCAGGAGCTCCCACGGGCTTGTAGGGGGGAGGCAGGTGCCACTGGGCGTGGCCAGGAGGCTGCCAATGTGCTCTGACTCTCGCTTTGTCTCTCTCTGTCAAATAAATAAATAAAATCTTAAAAAAAAAAAAAAAAGAAAAGAATTTGTTAAAAAAAAATAATAATAATGCTATGGTGAGTGTCTCTGAAGGCTTAATCTTCAGGCAACAAACACTAATCAAGTCTAATGCTTCTCTATCCAATATGGTAGCCTCTGACCCCATAGTGGCTACTAAGCCCTTGAAATGGGGCCAGTGCCATGTGTTGAAACAACAGTATTTTGGATATTGGATTAAATACAGGATATCATTAGAATTCATGTCAGTAGTTCCCGTTTCCAAATGTGGCTACTAGAAAAAGTTAAGTTACATATGTAGCTCACACAAGATTTCCACTGGGTGGTACTGGGCTAATAATGTTTATTGGCAGCACCAAGCACTGTGCTAACGCTGTCTCATTTCATTGTCCCAGATATCGCAGGAGCTCCAGGGTGTAGAACTAAAGCTGCGTCTTTAGTGTAGTACCCCTAATCACCAAGACACCACCCCCCACCCTGCCTCACTAGGTGATCTTACAGAGGAGAAAACAGAGGCTCGCAGAGGTTCAAGTGATCTGCCCCAGAGTCACACACAAGGAGGGGACACGGTTTCCCAAACTGTGGGAACCTTTTTATGGCCTTAAATAACATTGGATCCCATTGTGAGAAAGTCAGTCTCTTGATTTCTCTTTCTGGCTGTTTTGGCCAATGAGAAAGTCTCCATTGGGTACTATGGTGCCTTCAGAGCCTCTATCTGTTCCTGGTGTCTCCCCTTCTGGGCTAGAATTTCACCTTTTGGCTTCTCTGTATTGATTTTTAGACAGTTTTATTGAGGTATAGCTGACATACAGCAAACTACACATGTTTAA